AACATGGATGGAATGGCTTATCTATCATGATGGGCTGTCAAGAAAGGAGAAAAAGGTAATGATTACTTACCTTTTAACACCCCAGTTATCAAATAATAAAATACTGTCAAAGCAGTGGCAAGTACAGCATAAGGATTATCATCTCCGTAAGCAGAAACATAGAAAGATTAAGTATCTTCTTCCCTTCGTAGATACAGTCTGTCTGAAGGTATTTACTACCTTTTGGAAGATTTCCTCAAAACGGCTTTATACTCTAATTCACTACTTGCGTGAAAGTCAAATACCTATTCCTAAACCTCATGGTAATCATAGTCATATTCCTGCTAACAAGACAGTACCAGAGGCAATGGTAAAGGTAGAAAAGTTCCTCTTGAGTATGATGGAGGAAGAAGGTAAAGTAATTATAACATGTACCTATAGGCGGAATTTAACAGATGGGAAAGCTGTTTGCTATATGGAGGTAGAAAAGATCATTTACCTTCCATCTCATCTTTCCTATCAGACATTTTATAAGATGTATCTTGTGTCTATTGGTCTGAGTGAGCTAGAAGCACAAGTCTCTTTTACTAAGTTTTATAGGATATGGAAGAGCTCTGAGACATTACGCTTTATGAAAATTCAGAAAGCCTCTAAAAATGTCTGTAATGAGTGTACAATATTGCGAAACCTATTTAAAGGTTACAAGAACCTAGTAGCAGGTATTGGTAAAGAGGTCAACAGTAATAGACTATTGGTTGAAGAAATTTCACCACATGGTGAGAAGGAAAAGTGACTACAAGTATATCAACAAGAGTACCAAGCATGTCATTTAACTTATAAGAATAATATTCAACAAGCAAAAGATCTAGAATCTGAGATAAGTACTTCAAGTTTATCCTTTGATTTTCAACAAGTAGTTGAAATACCTAGAGTGCTACAACAGCCATCCCAATGGTACTATTGGTCTCCATTCAAGTTATATGTATTTGGTATAGTTGATGATGCAATTGATAAGCATTATCATATTATATTTACAGAGGCACAGCAAGAAAAGAGAGCTAATCAAGTTGTATCAATTTTGCATTGTTTCTTAACAGCAATTCCAAAACTTAAAACTCAGATTCACTTGTAGGCAGACAATTGTAGAGGCTAGAACAAGAATAAGACAATGTTGTAGTATCTTTGTTGGCTAGTTATAGCTCAAGATATAGAGGAAAATGTTGTGGGATTTCAGATCAAAGGTCATACTAGAAATAGTGTAGATCATGGCTTTAGAACAGTAAAGCAGAAGGCTAACAGAAATGAGGTTTGGACTCCAGAAATGTATGCAGAACTTATTGATATGTTAAGAATCCTAACGGGTACAGGGGTGCGACAAGTAACAATTCTCAATGCATATCTAGGTACTAGTTCTTAGGCCAATGCCTACGCGATGTGGATAGCTAAGTCCTTTCAACTTCTATCTTGTCGCGCCTATTCCTCTGATCTTCTTAAGTCCTGGCTTGGGACTTAGTCGTTCGACGTGGGAGGAGAAATAGTTTTCTTGCTTGGGAGGAAAGATAGTTCTCAGGTTTTCTTAAGATAAATCTTAAACAGCGTAGAGGTAGGTTTTTTTATAGTAATAACTTAAAGATAGGAAATAAACAAGAAGAACATGTAAAGAACTAATACTTCAGGGTCCTAGCGATCCCTTATATAGTAGTTCTTCACCTGGCGTGACTCATACCTTGCGTCACGTGAACCCTGTGACTCATAACCATGAGTCATATGAAATCCATCAGCTGACTCCTATGAGTCGCTACGCAACATACTTAAAACCAATTAAAACATAATAACCAAGTCAGGTACGCAACTCGCGTCACCTGAGTGAAACCCATGACTCATAAATTAAGTCATGTGCGAAAATCATAACATCGTGTAACTCACAATTGTGAGTCACAAACAGGTAAACATAATAACCTATAGTGCACTAGTGTATATCATGTGAAATCCCAACATACCTATAGCTCGGAATTCCGGGCTATGTAAAATCTCCCTTGCTTAGTCACAGTTTGTGACATGATACTACTAATAAGGCAGGTAATATAAGGGCTATATGGTTTTTCAATAATCCTCCGGGAACTATATTTCAGAATTGGGAGTATACTCTTAAACCATACTTGAATACTATGAAAGGAATTCAAAACTATCATTTCTTTCGTTTTCTTTCCATCAACTCAGGTATTATTGAGGTAAAGCGACTACCACAGGATGAGTAGACAAAGGTGGATTTACGAAAGAAGGATTTCAGCTTATCCATGTTCATGAAGATTAAACCATGTGGACTTCCAGATATAGGATTGAATCCAGAGAAACGTCATGATCTCTGGAATAAATATTCTTCTTATGTTCCATCTCAGTACTAAAACTAATGGTACTACTCAAAGCCAGAAGATTTCCTAATTTCAACCATATGTAAAAAGAAGAATCTACAGGCAATTAATGCTAAAAAAGCCAGGCATAAGCTGGGTCAGGAATTAGATAAAGATAGGAACTCTAATAATAAGATTGTAGAATCTCTAACTACTGCTCCTATCAAAAGAGGTTGTGGTAGACCTCCTAGCTCTAAAAATAAGTGAAAGACAGTGGATTCAAGTTAAATCACATGTTAATTGAGCTTATTCAGCTCTTTTAACCTGCCCCAATGTGTATTGTTCATAGATAGTGTTGATTGAACTGATTATTTACCTGTATGATAGAAAATATTTATATAGAATCAAACAGACAGCTCAGGTCTATCATATCCTTGATTTTGATGCTATTTACTCTATTGCTAGTTGGGCTATTTCAATTTTGTTGTGAAAAAAACATGTTTTCCTTTTTCTCAAAAGGCTCTTGGTTGCTATGTAAACTAAAACTGCTCCTAACTCAAAACTGCTAAAAAGCGAAGTTACTCCTTTTCCCTGAACTGCACCCATATTTATATTTATTTCGCCTATTACTTTGTTCATTTCCTTATTTTATTTACATTTATTTCTCAGTTTACTTTATTTATTTCTTTATTCTATCATGGTTTTCTTTTGTTTTATTTCATTTTCTATTTTACTTGATTTATTTATTTTATTTATCCTATGATGATTTATTTATTTATTTATTTATTTATTTATTTATTGGGTGTTGCTCTGGCCGGGCCTTTTTCGTGGGGTGTAGCTCGTTGTTGCGTGGTGAAAAGTCCCAACTGCCCTACCTGTACGTTTGACCCGCCGTAGTCATTGCCGAACAGGGCCTTAAGTGAGAAGAGGAGTAGTCAATATGGGAGAGAGAGGAAAAGGGAAGGAAATGAGAGCAGGAGGAAATGAGAGAAGGGGAAGAAAGGTAAAACAGGATTGAAGAATGGCAAGGAAGCAGATGAGAGGCAGCTGTAGGTCTTGAAAATCCCACCAGTGTGCTCAACTATCTTAAGAGCATACTTGTGAGCACAGGTACACTTATCAGATCAAACACCTTTATTAGATGAGACCCATTATTTGAGACACGCTTTAAGTACATATTAGATCTGCTGTACCCCCTAATTTATGTTCCTTCTCTCCCTAGACTAGACTACTCGAGTAGGCTAATCGGGAACACAGGGGGTAAAAAACACAAAAAACCTCAGCGATGGTGTTGGTTTGTTGGTTGGTCGGTGCGGTAATAGTGAACATGTGTGCCGCAATGGCCGAGTGCGTGATGCTAAGAGTATACTATGTACAGTATGGTACCATGCGATAACTCCGAATCCCACGCACTGGCTGTGTCGGGGGGTCATGATACAGTAGCTTGCTGGGCGGGGGGAACCGCTAAACTAGAGAATCTTCACAGACTATTCATTCCCCGCCCGGGAATACAATACCTATCCTTCACCTAAATCCACCCTCATAATGCGAAATCCCCTCTTGTGTATGCGATTAATCCTACAATGTTCCTGAGGACCCGCTCTCGCGCTTCACCCCACTATCACTCACGAGTCCGAATAACGAGTGATGACCAGTGATTCCTGACAATGTGGATATCGCACATGGCTAGCGGTGAGGATCAATATCCGGAAAAACAGCTGGTCGATTCGCCCTTTCCTTCCATCTAAGTAGAGGGGGGCCATTCGGGTGGTGGGCGAGAAGTTCTTGACTTGGGGGGGGGGGGGGGGGTGGGTTATTCTAGTTGAAAATCATTGTGAGCGATCGCTCCGACATCTTGCCGTCAATATTTGAGAGTGGGAATGGTGCGCACATAGCGCTTCAGTCACAAACACTTCCCAAAGATATCTTACATGTAGAATAACAGGAAAAAAAAGGGGTGTATCGATGCACAGCATGTGGAACTTCCAAAGGCAATCCCCTGATGTACATCAACCCAATTCTCCTCTATAGTCGCAAATCGAATCTATCAATACCGTAGCGACCAGTCCTCATTTTAGCAAGGGTACTGTATATATCTAAAGCTCTCTGTGGGGAACGCAAGCATATCTATTCAATTCAATCCACAATCATAGAACCTACTTACCCTCAGTCAATAAAGGTAGTCGGAATTCACCACGAAACAATGAAAGGGGAAAAATCGAGAGGCCCAGAGATCGTGTACCCGATACAACGGCAAGTCAAGCCACAGCTACTAGAACCGAAAATGAGAGAAATGATATATTGCAGAGCCAAACATAGAACAAAAAGGTCAACCGGGACCGGGATCAAAAAATCAAAAAAATCAAAGCCAACTTGCCGCCCAGATAGAAGACGAGTAGAGCAGAAAGGGCGGTATGCCCAACCCCGCATCAGTATAATACTGTGAGAAGCTGACAAACGAGCGAGAGCGGCAGAAAGGCCCATGGGACCAGCATTAACAGATCGTACCCTGCGAATCGACAAATGGGATAAATCAATCTTCTCAAAAAAAGTGAAGCAGGATGGTGATATCCTCCGTGCCAGGATGTCTATAACAGCACTAAGCGTATACTCATGTGAAGCTGTAAAGGGGAACTCACTAGCAAGCGCTATAGGCGAGCGGTGGCCCATCTAAAGGTTGCCCGCCCTATGTCGGTTGAGCTTGAATTTGCTAACACCCTTCCAGAAGCCCCGGACTCTCACAAATCCGTCGACCACATTCTTCTCCACAGCCTCATCCGCTACAAGACACAGTTCTGCCCCACCTGCCCCTGGAGTCCTTCTGCAAAGGGTAGACTCAACACCCCCTTCCCTGCTCGGCAAACGTAGACTTACCACCCCGAGTCGGGCCCCCCCCTTCCGGTGCGGTTGCGGGGGCAGTGTGTCTGGAGTGGGGAAGAATATGTTTCTACAAACAGAGTGAGTGTATATTTCTAGCCTTCTTAAGCCTTTGCAATGCTCCCTGATGACGTCGCAGAAATGTTCCTCCTCTTGAACCCGCCCCACGCCCTGGCTCTCGTCCGCCTCAAAAACGATCGGAGGTACTAGCCAAGAGGAAGGACGCCATAGGTTATTCCTAGCCGGAGGAGTATACCCCGGCATTTTCTCCAAGACTAGATGAGTCAAGTTCAACGTTTCGAGCCCATCGCCAATCAATTTTAATATCGTCACTATTCCAGTTTGCGTCAGATGCGGGTTGGAATCGAGGACTAGGGTGTGCCCTCGATGAGCCTTGTTCCACATTTCCCGCTGTGGGCGAAGATCCTTGCTACTACAGAGCCATACGAGATGTGGATCTTCGAACCCGGCCAGATTCCTAACCTCTATATGCTTGAGCTCTGACAATATTTCATACCTGACAAAGGAATTATCGTCGGGTATCCGAAACGTGAGGCCTGATTTCTTGCTCACCCATGGCCCTTCCATCGCAGAGGAGCCGCCATCTATCCTGAGGACCTGCAACGTGCCACTTGCGAGATACGAAATACTACATAGTAACTGGCGTGCGTTCGGGAAGACGGGACGATTTCCATTCCGTATAGTAATATGTCTCAGAGCTCTCCTCTTTAATGGGGATGAAAGAGAGAGTACAGCATCTTCAAAGCACACCATTGCGCCCGGAAAGTCGAGCAAGATTTCCTGCAAGCCATCCGTATATTCCGCGAGAAGGCATTGCAGGTCCGTCGTGACGCGGTTCGCCTTCTCGCATCGATCAAGAGTGGTGATCTCGATAAGAGCACCAGGGGGAGGAGCTAATTGGTTCCAGCGAAGTGTCAGAGAGCGTATCGCTCTCTCTTGGCCTCGCCAAGTAAATGTAGATAGATGATTGACTAGCTCGTGCAGAGACCTGGGGGAATTGAGGAAAACCCTGGACAAGGCATCGTTTCGGAGCAAGCCACGAAACCAGCGATTCGTACGGGAGAGATAGAAGAGGGTGGGTTTGTCAATGACAGTGCTGGAGTCCGGAAAGGGGGGGGAGGAGGGAAGGAAGAATATTATTCTAGAAATGATCCTCTCGGGAATAGTCACGTAACGCCCCGGAAATTCAGGAAGTGGAACCCGGAGCGGGTTTTTTCCCCCATCATAATAGTCCTCGACCAAATCCATTGAACACGGAGTATTCCTGCAAAACACTCAAGAACACCACCGTCAGTAGCACGGTGTAGAGTGGGGGCGATCTCTGTAATCAGTAGATTGGGTGCACGTGCACGATTCCGTGAGTGGGTTGTTATCGCCGCAGGCAAAGGTTCAAAGGTTAGGGGAAAAGAGGAAAGGGTTGCTTACGACTATGATACCGTACCCGAGGGAAAGGGCCGGGTTAGAGCGGTCCCGACAAGGCAAATTTGCTTGCTTCACATGCACTTATGATACTTCCTTCAGAGTGCGCGCGTGTCCCCCTTCAACCCAGTCCCGGGTTCGGTATCCCACAGCTCACACCGCCGGAGTGGAAACTTGAGGATGGGGATGGAAAGGCTGTATCGACAAAAGTGTATAGTAAATTTACTCTCCCGGCGTTTGCAGCGTTCGAACAGTGGGGGGACCCAAGAGGGCCCAGCTGAAACCAGTTGATCCCGACATTTCAATGCGGTATGCACTCACAAGCTTTCGCGATACCAGATGAACCCGGTTCAGTACCGTAGCCAGAGCCAACCGGATACCGCTATCCGCGAAACCTATCGTATGATATCATATGATAGATATGCCGGACCTAGGTGAATGATAGGTTCGGGGCTGTGGATCGGGAATCTTATGGTGCATTGCACTCAAAGCCTACACCGTGCTAGATGCAACACGAAATGCTCAACCCTATATGGAACCAGTACCTCACCCTAGATCCTGTATCCTTGGAAAAAGGCTAGCTTTTGTTAACAATATGTACATATCATACAATAGTATACCAGCATTATTCACCAAGCATTTTACATGACAAAGTTGTGAGTATAATTTCAACTCACCACAATCATTAGTGCCACAAGCGTTAGAGTCCACACCTCCCAGTCTTATCTGGAAATACCATGCAAGAACAGTTAGGATAATGGAGACTTATTGCAACCATGGTTGTGCTCATATACCGGTATGCATCTAAGGAGTAGGAAAGTCTTATACAGAAAAAGTATGTCCCATTAGCATATCGGTAATAGTCTTATGGAATTGAAGTTGGAATAAAACCTACAGCAATGCGATACTATGTACAGCTGACGTGTACTGAAATCAATATACGGTACCATTAATGATAGGGGATTTTTCTTAGTAAGAGTTAATCTTATTCTAAAGATATAGGATTAAGGGTATTGTACTAGTTGCATACAGGGTTGAGTGTTTTGTGCTGCGCCTAGTATCATACGGTGCACGCTTTAAGTGCAATGCACCATATGATACATTAACGGAGGATTCAGGGATTGGGGCGATGTTTGTCATGGACGGGTGTTGAGTCGAGATTTCCTACAGTAGAGACCCTGCGATTTCGCATCCAGAGTCAAATTCTAGCGATCTCATTGGCTCAGAACCCCGTTTGACCCACAGGCAGAGAGAGTCTCTTCGCAAAGTCCCTAGTAAGGAGCTGTTTAGTACGGCAGGTTTGGAGAATTTGGTTGGCTGGTAACCATGGTTTGGCCTCAAAACCTGCCTATACAATCCATTTTAAGGGCCACAGTTGGTCAGTTTTTATGCTTTATGGCCAAACCATCGTTGGTAACCACACAAAACCGTAACGCCAAACGGCCCCTAAGCTTGCAGAGTGGTAGCTTCAATAGGGAGCAGGGGTTCCCCAACCCACGCCCGGGGCCAATCATGATATCGTATCACATGATACTCGTTTGTTTGTGCAGTCTCAATCGGATACCACCTCAGGCGCACAATTGAAAATATCCTTCGACATGCCGAATGACTCCTACGATGATTCACCCTCGGACAGCCCGTCCATGAACGGATGAGAAGAAGGGTTGGAAATGTGTTTTTCTCCTCTGCAGTCGCCCGGAAGCCAAAACACGTAGAACGGGAAAGGATTCCCCCCTCCCTTCCAGAGGGGAGACCCAGACCGCCAGAAACCAAGATCGCCGCCCCCCCGCCATGTAACCGCCAATATTTGTGCTATTATATGTAAGCATAGCACCGCTATCATGCTGCACCTCATCCTCAAGATTGGCACTTGTGCCGTAGCGTGCTACTACTGTATGAGTGCTCGAGTACAGTACTGTACATCAAGGCCAATGATACGGTAGGAGCGCCACACGAGTGTCCATCATACACGTGTAGTTATCATTCCGTAAGCCAATGCTACAACAATCATACCGCATACTCTGGCGAACCGGCACTTGTGCAAACTCCGAGGCGTCTCACAAGCTTCCTCATGAAAGAGGAGGAATGGCGTAGCTATCCCAAATTAGCTCGCAGGATCCATTGAAAGCCCGTGACCCGAAAATCGGGCAAACGACACGCAATACTGCACCCTGCCGCATATTCTGTGGCTGGCCCTGCGCCTTCTACTGTGCAGGTATGGTTGGTCAGGCGATTAACTTTATCATAGTCTACCGGTAACTAACATTGCAACCCTCGTCTGGAACCTGACAGATCGGGTATCGCACAGCACCACCACCCTTTGTGCTGGAATGCGGGACCAAACCGCCAACCATCAGTACTCGGGTGCTCGAGTAAATAAATGTCTTGTATGATACTTTCTCCTATTGCCAGCACTCTCCCAATTGGCTTTCGGAAGGACCTTCTTTGGCCCAGAGGTGGGCATCTGCCGGTAGTTGAACATCGCCCTCAACCCGTGAAGATGCGATGGTGTCCTCAAGCCACACCTTGTGGCTGATGATTGGTCCGTGCTCCCGTTTGTGTTTTTTTCTTTTTTTTTCGCTCTTCAGGCTTGGCCATGGACCACAGTTTCATATCAAGGATTCCGTATCCGATACCGATGATAAGACGGGAATGATTGACGATAAGGAGGTGAGGGGGGTGAATGGATGAAATGCTCCATGCGCGAACAATATATGACCTCAGTGGCTATTGGTGCGGTTGTTGGGACAGAGTATTTCCCGCGATGGATCAGGGGAAGGAGGAAGCAGCATGACAAACGCCATGTGTGTGTGTTTTCCAATCCCCTTGCTGGGCTTCTCCACGACACCATACCGGTATCGAGGCTGACCCATGTACTCAAGCACACCGCCGTATCGTATGAGAAATACATCATTTAACCTACCGGGCAGATCATGGTACCCCAAATGCTCGGCCTTCTCCTCGAGCATCTAGTTGCCGTGATTTCTGCCACGGAACACGCGCTGCGCAATATACATACAACCTACCTGCTGTAGATGTACTTGTAGTCTACATCCGCTCGGAGTGGGAGACGGGTCCCATCACTTGTCGGAAGAATCCTTCCCTGATTTCCCTTCCCCAGGGGATTGGTGGGCTATCCTCCTCCTCCTCCTCCCCATGCACCCGCACCATACCCGCATTTCTACCATCATGGCCATTCACCTCCTCTCATCCACCGTCCTTGCCACTTTGAGCTAATGATTTTCGGCGCGGTTCTGTGGAGATGTGGGTCGGATTCACCGCAAACGCCAGCCTACCCGTAACTTACTAGTGAGCCAGTTGCCGAGAGTTGAAAGTGTTGGAGCGGATGCGAGGGAGTGAGGAAGCCAGAGAGGGGGGTGACCGAGATGGTGATGCGACCTTTCCCTGCCGGCACTGGTTGTTGGTGGGCCTCATCGTTTAGTATGGGCCGTACTTTGTGATCTCCCCCCCCCCCTCCCCCTTTCTCCTCTTTTCTCGCCCAACTCCTCATCACCTCTTCCCGTATCTTCCCAGCCGCCGTGGCCCTGACCGTTCCTCAAGCTTCACAGCTCCTGTCTCCACCTGCGCCCTACAAGACAGTCTTACTAAGTCGGAGGCGACTTATCTCCCTCGCCCCCGTCCTCCCCCTCTGCTCCCGCCAGCCATTCCCAGTATCCTTCACCCGTATCGGCCGTAAGCGGTCCTCACTTATCGAACTCCCGCCCCCGTCCCAAGGGCCGTTTTTCCCCCCTCCCGTGAAGCTTCCCCCCAAACAACAACCGACTCCGCGAACAGAGCACTTCCGACCACCCACCACTATGAGTCCCATGGCCACAAATACGGACGACACGGCAGATATTTTGCAACCAATATCCGCCGAGCTGCCCAAGGAGTTGAGCTTGGTTAGTAAAACCCCTACGGTTGCTATAATCGGAGGTGGTATGTCCGGGCTCCGGGCCGCACAGGTTTTGCTGCAAAAGGGATATAAGGTTGTGGTGTACGAAGCCCGCGACCGGCTTGGCGGGCGAATATTCACGAGCAATCGTTTGGGAAAGGCCGTTGATCTGTAGGTTCCCCTTCCCTCTTTTCTTTTTCCTATGCATCTACATTACCGTAGCTGATGCTGCGGCGCTCAAACGTCGGCAGCGGTCCAAACTGGATCCACGGCACAAACAACAACCCTGTTTTGTCGTTAGCCGAGAAATCTGGCTCAACGCTCCACCACTTCTCCGAGCAGTGCCCTACCTACGGCCCCGATGGCAAACCCTTGGATCAGACCGAGGCCGATGAGCTCTCAGAATTGATGTGGAGGGTCATCGAGCGTGCCGTCGAGTATTCCAAGCACTGTCATCCCGCAATCCCTGTGGAAAAATCCTTCCACGATTATTGTGTCGAGAAGGCCGAGGAGCTGTTCGGAACTAGAGTCGCTGAAGATGAGAGTGCTAGAGAGAGGGCCGGATTTCACCATGGCGGAGGGAAAGGCGGAGTGAAGCGTAGTGCCGAAGATCATGTCCGATGGAAGGGCGAAGAGGTGCGGAAAAAGGGGCTGTGGTTGTCCCTGGCGGAGATGTGGGGCACCTTCATTGGTAGCCCCGTTGAAAGGCAGAGTTTAAAATATTTCTTCCTTGAGGAGCCATTGGAAGGCGGTGAGTACAGTACCGTTGGACAGCATCACGCTCCGGCCACCGCTTCCGGGCGTTTCGTCAGGCTTAGCTAACATGAGTTCCCTTAGCAAACATATTTGTCGCGGGCACCTATAAATCCATGGTCGACACAATGTCAAAACCTTCACTGGATGCTGGTATTGTCCGATTAAATACGCCTATCGACGAAATCATAACCCCCACTCCGGGTAGTCGAAATCGTGTTGTGCTCAAGAGCTCTCAGAAGCCTGAGGAGAATTGCGAAGCGGACGCTGTGATTGTAACAATACCCTTGGGGTGTTTGAAGAGAGAGGTGATCAATTTTCAGCCAAAACTTCCCAAACGAATGCTTGAGGGCATAGATTCCCTCAGCTATGGAACTCTCGAGAAGGCTAGATTCCCACCCTACGGCTAGATATGCTAAGCTAAAGATCCGCCAGGCTAACAAACACATAACATTAGGTCTACATCAAGTTTTCTGCCCCCTTCTGGAGTTCCACGGGACAAGACTTTTTCACTTTCCTTTCACCCACGTACGCCCCCAAAACAAACCCTGGTCGCTGGTATATGTCGTGTTTCTCGCTCGCTAGATTACCAGAGCCCTGTGCGCAGCCCACACTTCTTTTCTACATTTTTGGTCCCATCACCAAACATCTAAATGAGAATTTCGCGCCGGGCCAAACAGAGGCCGGCAGGAAGCAGTACCTCGAATTCTTTGAGCCGTACTACTCCAAACTCCCCAATTACTGCGAAGGCAGTCCAGACTGCCGGCCGGTGAGTGTCGAGGCAACACGATGGAGTCAAGACAAGTGGGCCGGCTACGGAAGTTACTCAAACTTCCAAGTCGGTCTGCATGCTGGCGAGGAGGACATCAGATGCCTAAGAGTCGGTACGGCGGATCGGAGGCTCTGGTTCGCCGGAGAGCACACTTCGCCGGTGCTGGGTCTCGGAAGTGTCAGTGGAGCGTACTGGAGCGGAGAAGACGCAGCAGCCAGAGTGATCGCCAGCCTCGAGAGCGGCGGGATATCCAGTCCCACACAGATAAGGTCGGACGCCAGGCGCGCGGCACCACAACCAGACCCGAGAGACGGTACCACGAATGGGACAGGGCCGAAGGCAAGCTGGTACGGGAAAACGGTGGGTTCCAATATTGCCATCAATGCCGTTCCTACGGGGGTGCAACAAGCTGGTCGGTTCAACCACAGCACGGCCATCGCCAATTAGTGATTTCGTGTAGATTTCTGAGTAATTGTAAGTTGGGCTTTTCATTATCCTTACTGATTCTTTTTATGGTGAGAGCTGCCTTCGGGTTTGGGGTGAGTGAGTGAGTGAGTGAGTGAGTGAGTGGGCGGTTGGGCGTGTTAAATATATACCCGGGCCACCTCTTGTTGTCAGCGACAGAGCCCAGGTCGAGGTCGGGAGGAGTTATTACGGTCCGAAAGCTGTTTGTATCCCTAGCACAATGGAGTCATTCTGAGCTCAGCGCAGAGATACCCGTAACTCGTACTCGACATTTCCTGGGCAAACGGGCAACGGGGACCCACGCCCAAGGCACATAATCGAGTGATGGCTTGTGAGAATGCCCACAGCAACATGACATTTCCGCCCCACATCCCCTTCCCGTCTCGTGCGGCGGCCGGGAATATGCCAGTGACCCAAGCACAGCCCCTTATATAGAGTACAAGTCATCGCACATGAACGGCTCTGTGAACTTTGGCGTGCAGTGTGTGTTTGTGCAATTTTGTCCTGCTTGATTTCCCAGCGCCGCACCCAAACCCGTACCCAAGCACCGTAACCGCCCCGGAATACAGTACCGTACGTATTGTACCCGAAAGGCCCGCAGCACGGCAGCAGTGTGCATCGTACGGTACTGTAATCCATTGCTCACAGTTGCCATCACGTAAGTCAAGTTAACCCACGAGTAAATACAAATTGACAACCGCATCGCGATGCTCCAAGCTATTGAATTACTCTTCTCAACACTTGTGCCATACCCACAATACAAAAGAGGTATAGTACAAACCCCACTCGACCGACCGGCTATATGACTGCGGTAGTTTAAGCGAAGAGTGAACTTCAACTGCCAGCGGCACCAGCACGCCATACGGGTGCCATGAGGGAATCTCGGAATTCGCGATCGGATTATTGCACCGCCGCACCAGCCCGCGATAGACAGGTTCGGTTGAGGATTGACGGGATTGCGAATACTGTGCTGGTAGGATGCTGCGAGTTCGCGGACGTGCGCACGTAAACTTTGGAGCGCAGCGAATAACTTATTCGCCGGAGCTACCGGTGACGGTGCAGCACAGCACTGTAGCAGCACCAGTAGGGTACTGTACGAGTACTCGAGTACCGTGCTCGTACAAGCATCGCATCGCATGGTAGAGAAGAATAATGGCATCAAACCGGCTGAGGCAATGCCTTAGTCACCTCAGCCTTGGACAGCGACATGAGCGGCAGAAGAAATTCTCCACCCACCAGCAGTTCAAAAAGCTGCACCATTTCAGGAAAGCGCCAATACGAGTATCTCTCGGGTCGGGAGCTCTACTGTCTCTGAACTCCGGAGATTAGAGGCTATGTTGTGCGGCATCGGCGGAGACAGCGGATTGCAAGACATCGGCACTTCATTCTCGCAATCGCACCATACCTCCCAATCCCCACCACCGGCCAATCTTCCACGTGGCTCTCAGGCCCCACCCACCCTGACTCACCCACCCACCCAAAAGCATCACCAGTGACCAATCCGAGTGATACCCCGTGCATGCGGCTCCAGTCTCCTTACACATGATCGGAGTCATAACCGAACCTCTCCCACCGACCAAGACCTTAGTCTCGGGGCCCGTCGGTTGGCTTATAGGCTTGGTTCGTGGTCACGGGATTGGGCTCTGAGGTCCTATAAATTTGGGGAGGGCGGTATGATGGGTGGTAATCGGCCGAGGTATTCCCTGGTTGATTTGAAGGCGATTTAGGAGGGTGGGAAGGGAGGGGGGTGAGGTGGAACCTTAGATTTTGTAGTTGGGCTGGGTACTACCGTTACCCATTGTGCGGAGAAAAATGGTTCCGCCGGTACTGTTCTCAAGCCCTCGTACGAGTGCTGTACGAGTACAGGTACAGTATATATGAGTATAGTACCGGTACTAGAAACCTGACTGAGGTTGGGTATCGGGAGGGCGCAGCGAGGAACTCGGAGTCGCAGCGCAAATTGCCAAAGGGTCCGGGGCATGCTCCCTACCGACCGCAGCATGCCGTTACATGTGCCGCTTGCTTCCATAAATCAAGCGGGCTGCATAACCTCTCTCCCTTGTACTCGTATACCAATGGAGCGAACCAAATCTACTCAGCACTGTGCTGTAGCTTCCCTGACCTCGGTCTCCCGTAATTTCCCGGGGAACCTATCATCTCCTTTCCTTCCCTAAACTGTCTTGGCACGGTATAGCAATCTGAGCAAGTTTTCGCCACAGTAATGCGAGACTGGAGCTGTCTGACTTCTCTCTTGCTCGCGCTCGCTCTGTCAACTACCGGTACCGTCTTGCTACTGGGTGCACATTGCCGGGCGCACGATTATGCTCGCTCGCTCAGCTGAGTTATGCTGCCGCGCCAGCCCACCAAACCCCCGGCAAGAAAACATTTTCCCCAGTGGATGCATTTTGCCATGAATGAGGCGCAGGTCGAGCATGAAGCGCCATACAGGTGGAGTTTCCGTATACTGTACCGGTCATCCAGTAGAACTTGGCCGTGAGCCATGGCGTATCATAAAGCGTTCATCCTCGCGTATCGTGTCGGAAAAGATATGCGTAAGAGTACGAGTACAGTACAGGTACTCTACCGGTCGTGTGAGCGGGAATCACCGAGAGTTAGTAATATGCAGGGCCCTAAGGAGATGACACACCAAGCCTGTTCGATCGAGTACTGTACCATACGGTAGCCTTGTCCTTCTCTCACTCTCTATGCCGTACGGTATTTGATGACTGCAGTTTGATTTGGTATCTGTGCTTCGCTTCAAGTCGTAGCATTAATACCGTTCACAGTACTGGCACGGTATGCACCATCTGCAGGGACTTTATTTTAAATTATGGTAGCGTTACTGTAGCAGATCGGGGCAGCATGTTTGCACCTTTCCTCCATGTGTCAAGCGGTTCCTGTTTGTCCCACCGGACAACACTGATCCTGTGCGAGTCCTCATCGATCTCATCGCTCACCCCGCAGCACGAGCGAGAGGGGTACGGTAGGGTACTGTGCTGGACGGGGAAGAAAGAAACGTGATAAGCACACGCAAACTATGTGTTCCACAAAAACTCCTTCCAGAAGCGCTCTGGAATAAATTTATCTTCTTTCCCCGGCGGTAATCCTACGCATGCGGGGAGAGACTTCTCTCTCCGAGTCTCGGTTCTTCCTCCTGCTCGCACAAGGAGCTTGTGCAGCCCCGGTAAATCTACTGTATCGGGTAAAGTAAGGGAAAGTCTATTTTAGCCCCCAAAAGTGCGGCAAGGCGGTGGGAGGGAGGACCCTGGCATGGGGGAGGCGTTGAGTTTGGCGCTAGACCGGTCGGGGTGAATTAAAGGGGTGTGAGGAGGGGTGATGGGGAAGCATTGTATCGTGTGGGAAGGAGAGGAGAGGAGAGGGGAGGAGAGGGGAGGGGAGGAAGGGAAAGGAAAGGAAGCGGAGGGGAGGGAGGGAGGGGAATGGTGAAGGGGGGTCACAGTGGGCATGGCACCGGTATGGCATGGAGATGGGGGTGAATGAATGGGGCGTGCCGTTCTCAGGCACTCGTAGGAGGAGGATAGGGGCAGGGGAGACTGATCCAAGTCACCGTATCCTGTGGTATGATACCGCATCGTGCCTGTCCTGTAAATTACCGGTACCGGTACCGTACCACACTGTACCTACCTGGCTGGGCTAAGTGTCTGTGTGGTTTCTTTTTTTTTTTTTTGTTTTACTGTACTTCCCTTTCTCTCTTCTCTCCCGTTAAATGGAAGAAAGTCTTTCTTCATTTCTTTCCTTTTCTCTTTCTCTCCTCTCTCCCGCGAACGGTGCAGTGCCAGCACAGTACGGTACTATCATACGACGACGGCATCTACCCCTGGGGTGGAACTCGCTACGGCACGGTGCTCTCACGAACGGTGTCCTTGGAGTGTACTCGAGTACGGTGGCTGAGGCAGAGCGAGAAGGCCACGAGGATAGGAAGGGAGAGGAAAGGGGGGACTGTATAGGCGTGCACTCGAGTTTGCCTTTTGAGAAGGGGAGTCGAGAGCAGTTAAAGGGGGAACAAGGGGAAATCGTAGGCAAAGGGGTTGACTCGACCAACGGTAATAGGGAGGCTTTGGGTCTACCGCTACATATCATCATACCCTACCATACTATATCATACATAGCTGCACCACCACCCTTCAAAATCCTATCCTCCAATACCACTCGAGAGCCTCTTTTCTACTGCTGCGGCGGAGAGGAAAGCGAGTACAGCTGAGCTCGACTCCACCCGACCCAACATTGGCGTTCTCTTTCGTCATTTCACCACTCTTCCATCTTTCTTGCTCGTCGTGCCCTCCACACCTCGCCGCAGCGACGGCAGCAACGCTATTTTACTTTTTACCTTTTTTTTTTTTTTTTTTCTCCTTCCTCGCTGCTGCTTCTCGGAACGATAGGATACGGTCCGGTAGATACCTCGGTCGGCGTCACTATCCCTACCAACCTACATATCATATCGTACATACATACATACATTCCTACATTCCTACATTCATCATTTCATTCATTCATTCATTCATTCATACTCGAGTACATCCACCCATCCACCCATCCAGCCACCCATACCTACTCGAGTACATACCTACACACCTTACCGGTGACTACGCTTTTTTCTTCTTCCCTCCATTTGACTCTTTCACCTGACGGACGCGGAAAGCGATCCACCCATACAAAGCAAAGGGTCGCACGCACGCGGAAGATTGAAAACTGCACCGCAAATCAACCACACAACCAGGCCTACACTAAGGCTCGACTCGAAGTTTGCGGTACGGCACATCCCACAAAGTCCAACCGAACCCGCCGACCAACCGCCGTCATCACGAGGGAGAAAAGGAAGTGTGTGTGTGGGAGAAACTTGAAAATCCATCCATCCACATTCTTAATCGCTTGCTTTTTTTTTTCCCTTTCCCTTTTTTAACTTTTAAGCCATGCCACACTCCACATTCCATACCTCCTCCCCCTCCGAGGTTGGGTCCGCTCCGGAGGGTATAACCGTTGCTTCTTCCGCCTCTTCTTCGAGTTTGGCAGCATCTTCATCTTCATCATCTTCGCCGACACAAACACACGCACAGGCAGAGGCGCGAGGAGCCGCAACGGTGGCAGCAGCAGCAGTAGGGACAGGAGTCTCGCATCAACACCCGCCCCACTCCCACCTACACCCCCACCACTTCCAAAACGTCCACACAAGCAAACAGGTCAAGAAGCGTCTCCACATGCGGTCGAAATCCACCTCCACCGCTACCACCACCCTTACCTCCTCACACTCCTCATTCTCCCCCTCATTCTACCACCACCACCACCACCACCACAATAATTCGCAATCGTCAACACCCCGCATCTTCGCCCCCCCGCTCTTGAGGAGTTCTTCCTTGCCCTTCGTTCCGGGGACTTCCTCTTCACCGCCAACAACCCCCCGGACACTCTTGATGCGCGCATACTCGCCTCCATCCCCGATCCGAACCTCCCCACCACCCCCCTCCCTGGTTAACGAACCCTTCATCTCTTCCTCCTCCTCGTCGATAACCTCCTCGGCCCCATCAACGCCCACAAGCCTCCGCTCACGCAGTCCATCAATCTCATCCCTGGAGACAATACCGGATTCTCCTGATGCGGAGGAGGAGGAGGAAAAGGCCGTCGAAGCGTTGAGGGAGGAGTGGGACTCGCGCAAGCGGAATACACCTGGTCGGAGTCCCGGCGCGGACAAACGGAAGAGGTGGAGCGTGTGCGGAGCGGAGAAGAGGGGTGATCTGGAGTTGGAGACGATATGGGAGGAGGCTGGCTTCGGCGTGGAGATTGTAGGTAGAAGCCCCGGGGATGGAATGGGTGAAGGGGAGATGATTTGATTTCAACTTTCTTTCCCCTCCCTCCTCCCTTTTTCCTTTTCTCTCTCTCTTTTTAGCTTGATTGTTTGGGGGCGAGCGGGAGGTCGGGATAATGGCGTTGTAATTTTCATCCTTTTTTTCTTTTTCTTTACTGTCTTTTACTCTGGGATATCTTATCTGTTCGTTAGCACGCTGTACCCCCCCATTTTCATTGACATTCATATCACATGTATTCTTACCCCCCCCCTCCTTTACATACAAGCATAAGCGTCATATCAAATCCTTTTCGTTACCATCATTTCTTTTGTCACTTCTTTTACTGCTACTTTAATCCCGGACGGACCAAGGACGAAGAAACGGACGTTTTATAGAATGGCACACGCGCACGAGAAAAATAGTGGAAATGAAGGTCATGTATTTTTACGATGAGCAAATTGTCAGATTAGTTAGATTCATGGGGTGGGGATATTTTATAAAAAAAATTATAAAAAAGTGAAGGCGTGGCCCCTAGTGATCTCAAGGATGGAGTGAATAGAGTGACTGTTGGCGGGAGAAACTATTTTCCGTTGTCCTCCGCACTGTTTAGTCCTCCGGTCCCGAATGCCTACTCTTGCAAACGGTCGCCTAAGACACAGCCCCGATATAGAAATGCTCCTGTCGGGCGAGTACCGTACTGTACTGTACATTTTCCAAGAGCTCTTGTGATTCGTTATGGTACAGTATCTCCGATAGTTCTCCAATCCCTTGATTCAGGGACAAAGAGGTCTTCGCATCTCATTAACTGGTTTCACGAGATTCCGTTAACTTGCCAAACTAAACCTATTATGGACCGATGAGTAGGTTTTTCCACTGATGATCCGATGGCGAATCGCGGGAGCCTTTACGGTGTTGTGCTTCTACCGTATATAGAATCTTCTCCCTGCTCGAACGGGCCCGGAGAAAATGAGCGGCAAGGCCAGAGCTAGCAGTCACATCGCACGGCACCGTGCCGTTGTTACCGGTACCCAGCTTGCCTGTGGTGTCGTGGGGTTTGTGGAGCGGGCCGCTGTCGTGTGCAGCCAGAGATTGGCCAGAGCCTCCGTCATTCCGGTGGCATGCTAGAGGCAGCCCGTTTTTACAAACTTCATGGCGTTTGGAGAATGGCCGACCTTTTATCCGAGTGATCTTCCATGACTCCCGGTTTTAGGCGTGACGCTGTTCCGTTTCGGTCCTCCTGCATTGTATTGTCATACAACGGGCGGGCGGGCCTTGTCACATTGATGCGATAGGGCTCAATCGGGATTTATCCTGTATGATACTGTAGTCACTACGGGGCGACCAACAAACCGGCATATGCATCCATACGGCTGTATTTGCTGAGGGTAGGCCAGCCCCACTGGGGGGGGGGGCCTGATAGCGAGGCTGACCGTGGGATACGCCTGACCTCTGGGCCCGGGTGGGGTATATAGGGCTGGGTGTGGTCGCCCTGGAGGCGGGAGGGAGAGAGGGGGCGTAGGTGAGGTGTTTGATAGACTAACTGAGAGAGAGAGGGCGTTGATAACTAATATAGTTCTTTCTTGCTTCTACCTCCGCCTCTACCTCTACATTTGCGCTTACCTTTACCTTTTTCTTCTTCATCGTCTTCCCCCGGGTTGGATCGAGTTGGGCCAGGTTGAGTGATTAGGCATCTGCCAGGTTATACGCCATCGCCATGTTTTCGCTTTTTGGGGGAAGGTGGGCTCCCCTTTCCCTAGTTACCCGAGAGGGGGGATGCTAATACACGGGGATAGCAAACGACCAAACACCCAAATACCATTCACCCTTTACAAACAGCATGGACAACCTATGCCCCCTTGCCCGCTAAAGCCCGATGCTTGGGAAAAAGCGTTGGAAAAGTACTCCGACAAGGGCTATACAAAGTCGCTTGTCGGGATGCTGAAGTATGGCGCGCTGATCGGATACACCGATCCTCGAGTCGGCAAGAAGATATACAGTAACCACGGCAGTGCGCGAGAGCAGCCCAATCTCCTCGTCGATGATTTGAAGGAACAGCTGGGGCACAAGAGGTTGGCCGTTTATAAAGCAGACCAGCTACCGCCCTTCTTTGTGAGTAGTCCGATTGGGCTGGTCGACAAAAACGATGGTAGCAAGAGGAGGATCCACGACTTGAGTTTCCCAAAGGGTACTGGTGTTAATGACGGAATTCATGGCGAGAGAACGAAAGTTGTATTCGCCACTCTGCAAGATATTATGAACATCATGAAAGAGCAGGGGACTGGGTGCTTTTTTATAAAGCGGGATTTTAAGGATGCCTATCGCCATATCCCCATCTCTCCAACGGACTCAAAGTTGCTTGGGTTTGGGTGGGAGGATGAATTTTTTGAGGAAAGGTTCCTCCCCTTCGGGCTCTCATCCGCACCTTTTTTGTTCAATTTTGTCGCCGAGGGGTTTCATTGGATTATCGAGCAGAGGTTGAAACCTCTCAAGGGAAAGGTGGTCCACTACTTGGACGACTTTCTAATAGTGTTGCCTAAGGGATCGAACTGGAGGCATGCTGCCCAGATCTTTGACGGAACCGCTCAAGAGCTCGGACTGAGGATCAAGACATCGAAAAATCGTGAAGGGGAAGTTACCGACTTTGTGGGGTTCGAGCTTGACTCGAAGCGAATGGTGGCCCGTCTCGCGCAGGAAAAGCTTGAGAAGACCAGGATGCTGGTGACAAAGTGGGTGGATAAGGCCGCGATCTCCGCAAAGAATTTGGAACATCTGCTTGGGAAACTGGATCGTGCGAGTAAGGTGGTCCCGGTGGGCAGAACCCACTGCCGAGCGCTGATCGCGCTGCAGGACGGGTGCTCATCAGACACTAGGAATGGTGGGCATAGGGATATCAGCATATCGGATGCGGCGAGGAAGGAGTTAGTATGGTGGCAAAACGTCTTGACAACTAATCCGCATATCAAGGTGTCTCCTTCGAATAGGAAGGCTATAAACGTGTTTACAAATGCGTCCGGGTTCAAAGGGATGGGGGGTTATTACCTGAGGGAGAAGCAGAGCCTTGCGACTCTGCCGGTAGAACAGCACTTCATGAAACCACACCCAGAGAGAAACATTCGGGAGAAGGACCCGCTCCCGAAGGAAATGATGGCTGTGGAGGAGGCGTTAAAACTGTGGGGCTCAGCGTTCAAAGGGTTTAGGGTGACCTTTAATACATCTTGTCAGGGAGTGGCATTTGGGCTACTTAATCACACTATCCATGGCAATGGTCCGCCCTTAGATGCCCTGAAGCGGATCTTGTTGCTCGGACAGAAACATGACGTTGAAATTTGGTCTCACTGGATTCCAAATGAGGACAATGAGCTTGCGATTTATCTTTCACGGTTTGAGAGACACAAAATCCATGGGCTAGCTCCGAAGCTTAGTGGGCTTAGAGGTTAGTCTGTATCTTGGTTTCTCGGACCATTTCTTATTGACATGGCAGAAAGCCGAGCAATCAAGCCCGGAGGCCGGTTCTCACCCTCCGAAAGCCGGTTCTCACCCCCAGAAAACCAGTTCTCATCCCCTGAAAGCCAGTTCTCACCCTCCGAAAGCCGAGCCTCACCTTCCAAAAGCGGGTTCTCGGTCTCCCAAAGCCAGTTCTCACCCTCCGAAAGCCGGTTCTCAACCCCCGAAGGCCGGTCCGCACTCCCCGAAAGCCAGCCCAAACCCTCCGAAAGCCGGCTCGCAACCTCCCAAGGGCGGTTCTCACCCTCCGAAAGCGAGTTCTCACCCCCCGAAGGTCGGTCCCGAAGATCCGCGCCGCCGGAGGGTCCTAAGAAAATAGGCGGTAAGGCGTTGGGTTCCCGGCAGCGACAGATGCCAGCGTCTCGAAATTTCTCTCATGCACCACCTACAACAAACCCACCACCACCACCTCCCTCCCCACCACCGTCACCACCACCACCACCGTACAAGCGGACACCGTCACCAGCTCCGAAGGAACACCAACCACCAACAACCAGGCCCAGAGCCCAACGAAGAAAGGGGCGCAAGGCAACACTGACCCCGGGATCAGAGACAGAAAAAAGCTCGGATGCTCTGGAGGAAAAGAAAGATGGTGATTTGGGATTGTGTATCTTACTCGTAACGTTCTTGTTGTTTCTGTTTCGTTTTGTATGTATGCTGGGTCGCTTGTCCTGGAGGTTTGTGAGATTCGCTGCTGGGCTATGAGGATTGATCAAATTTTCCATTTTATGAGGTTCTCGCGCTTTCCTTCCTCTCGCTCGAGTTTGCTGTTTCTCCCCCTTAGGTTCGCATTTGACCCAATTCAAGCTTTGCGCTGATACAAAGAGAGGCGATGAAGTAGGGGGAAGAAGAAGAAGAGGGGCCCTCAATGAGCGCCGGCAGGTTGGTATTTATACGTGGAGGGGCAGCATTGTGAGATTTACGTGGTACCCTGTTGTGCCTTCTTCTGCCCCATATGGTAATTTACATATGATGGTTATTTCCAGTCAGCTGGCGTCCCGGGACACATATACCCTTGGTCTCCGGTAACTCGATGCCCACGACATTGATTCGAGGTTGGTAAGTTGTTGAGCCACAACGCTACACTGGGCAGCCACAATAAAGAGATTGCCGATATGGGGGGCTGCTTGAATGGCAGGGAAGATCTCCGAATACACACTACACAGCTAGGATGGCCGGCAACGAGGAAAGAAAAAAAACAAAAAAACAGTACTCTTCTGCGATAGAGATAGAACTGTTTGGATACACCACCACTGGGTGAACCCGATAGGAAGCGGGACAGTCCTTGCGAGCCATCGTAGGATATCCTCCAGGGGCTACTCTACGTACATGCCATGGCACCTCTACCTTGGATATCTATCATCCACTCTTGCTACATGGGCAGGAAGTACTGTATTGTAAAGTGCAGTACCCTAGAAGGGGGGGACTGGTGAGCCATACGCCGAAATCCGTGCGAATATCTGAGTGGCAAATACAATCGGATCTCTCCCCTTGATTTCGCAACTCCTTGCTCGGCGGCGAGTGCAGGGGAAATTTACGGATTGCATTTCTATCGGGGGTGTCATCCAGGACAGGATTTGTATACCCCGTCGAGTTCAAGAGATGGTCGAGAGGAATGTGGGTGTTGGAGGCGCAATAATGGAATCTTAGGCCTGCTGGAGGAGGGGGGAATTGGAATGACCGCCCTACCGCACGTACCTAGCCCCATAGGCAGCGATTTAGTTTTTAATTTTATTTTCCCGCCCGCATGTGAATTAAAAAAAAAAAAACTTTAGGCCATTATTACCCCTTACAGCGTAAATCGATTCGAAAGGGGTTTTTGACTAGGGGGGGGGTAAAATGTAAAGTAGGACTCATCGCTAACACACGCCTTGGTGTGAGTGCTCACCGATAGAGTTGGCCTGAGAGTGTGGCCTGTATTTCAGGAGCTATGACATCTGGAAGCACAGTACGCCCTGCCCTGCCCTGCCCTGTACTCGTACAACACCCGCCGT